GTGAATTAAAAATGCATGGTGTTATTTTCATAATCATGTCCCAGAGGCAATGTATGAATGGCCTTCTAAACATTTCTTGTGGTAGGGATGGGTGGAGATTAGCTTGAGAGTCAGGTAACAGTGATTGGCTCATCGATGGTTAGAATATCTCTTCTTGCCGTCCACTTTCTCATTGTTAGTTGTATCACTGAGAATCTGAAGGTATACACTGCACAGAATTTGGAGCCTAGGAACGATATTTGCTATAGATAATGAGGACCTTATGTCTTCAGAAAACAAAACTAAACCTAGAAACAAAACAAAAATTATGCTTCTCCCACACTCAAGAGCCCTAAGTTATTCCACTCGACCAAATGAAAATAGCTATTTCTATTCCTTATCTCCTAAGAATACTCAGCTGAGTTTCCAACAAAAGTCAGTTTTCAAACTGTTAAGATACTGTATCATCTGGAATAATTCAACAACAACAAAAACAATCCCATATTTAGCGGATTCTCCTTCCTTGACTCTTAATAGAAAAATTGTATTGTTTTTGCAATGTGAAAACATATGAAGAGTTGTTTAAAAATATATTGAACTAGGTAATAAAGTAAAAAATGCAGTGCTCTGCTTTAGAATTATTCTTTAAAGAATAAGATCTAAAGCAGTTTTACATATGGCAATATAAATAATGGTCTCTTCTAGTGCAGAAGTGGCAAGTATTCATAGCATATAGCAACTGCCAGTTTCTAGCAGATGAATAGCATCCTTTTCATTAAACAAAAAACATAAACTCGGCATGCTTATGATAAAGAAATTTGTCTGCTTCATCATGGTGGGCATGTTTAATTTGCTTTTCAGATTTAGAAGTATGAAAATCACATTTTGAACCTGTTTAATTTGGACAAAATTATGTTACATTTGAAATTCTAATTGGTAACAATATACTTGATAAAAATTAAAGGGTCATAAATTTCACCTCTACTATTAAATCAACCTTTTACCTAAACTCATAAGAAAATAAAACATACCCCTGCCTATCTCTTTTTTTTTATTGCATTTTAGGTTTTGGGGTACATGTGAAGAACATGCAAGACTGTTGCATAGGTACACACATGGCAGTGTGATTTGCTGCCTATCTCTTAAGAATGTTTACTTTGTCATCATTAAGGAGTTTGCTTCAGGCAGTCTATTTTTGGGTGGAAGGTGGCCTGAACTTGTATGACATCATTCAGCATTTTACATTTTTAATTTAATCCCTAGGCTTTATGCTTCTCCCCTCAAATTACTCACTATTCATTCACCAGAAGCTTTGTGTTAAAGTAATTTTTGTAATTACATCCTACCAGTGGGAAACAAGGAATAGTAAGCCTTTATCTCCCAGCTTCCTTTCAGGATTTTCATTTTCCTGCGTGAACCCAAGTGCTTATGTTGCTGGTGTGGTTGTCATGGTGCTGTGAAGGCGTGTTTTTGTCCCAGGTGGGAAACATGTAGAAGTCAGAAATTATTTGCGAGTTGCTGCTGGTTGCCAGGGAATGAAACGATGAAACAAGAACTAGAAAAACGAGAAGATTATTTCTTATTTTATTGCTCCTAGGAACATGTAGGCCCAGAGCCCTTCCTTGAATCTGCGAACATGTCAATAGATAATCTAACCTGTTGTATTTGGAAGTTCTCATGACCTATGCCCTGATCAAAGAGAACCATTGGTGGGCTTTGTAACCCACACAAAAGTTGAATAATAGAAATTAATTTTAGTAAATGTTTTTAAATAAATGAAGTATGGAACATAATATTACTAAATTGCCTAAGATATGTCAAGTAGCAATCATTATTTTGGGTAGGTGTTAGATTACAATTTTTTTATACCTGTGTTATCTTAATTAGCAGCCAATCATTTGTCAAAACTAATCATATTTATGGAATCTATTGTCTGGTTGGTT